AACCACATTGTTTATTATTTCGGTCACATACATAGATAGATATATACATGCTACATTTAGTATAGTGAGATACAGGTGTTCCATTAGTGTCGTTCTATAGTAAACATGTTCATTAATGTTTTGAAAATCTCTTAGGGTTTTGTAGGATACACCAAAAAAGAAGAATAGTTATAAATATGGAAGATTTATATTAAATAAGACAGGTTGTATTGAAAGGTTTATGTCATATGCAGTTCTAGTTAAGTCTGCTTTGCTTGAAAAAATACTGTTAATGTACCACCATTGATCAAACATTAAACCCTGCTATACCACTTATAAGTACTAGTACTAATATCTCTAATTGATAATGAATTAAAGCACTTTAAAACATTATAACCATATTATAAAACAATAATTTTTTATTCCTAAGATTAATATATTTTTTAATTGAATGATATGATGAAAGACAAATGAGATTGTAATCTTTTCAAAACTGATTATGATAGTTTTCCTTAAAGAAATGATACACTTTTTCTTTCTTTTAGGGAGAGCAGACAGTTGAACTTTTACTTCAGCTGAAGTTGGCTGAGGGAATAAAGAATGCTTTTGATACATGTGAAGTGCTGTTGCCTTTTTCTCATAGGTATATCCAGTATCTGTATACATGCACATTGTAACATAGTCTCATGTATCCAGTTTGTTTCTTAGAAGAGAATCTTTTGTGTTTTAACCTTTGGATGCCATCATTGGATTTATCCAACTTGACATTCATAGCGGTTTGGTGCGATGATCGGGATAATCACATATCCTTGAATTTCCCGCCTTAGTATAGCGCGTGCGTACATCACCGAGCAAAAGCATAACTAGTGTATTTTGATACTAAAAAAAGTACTAATGAAGGTCAAAGTCTAATTTCATTTTTTAGTGGATAATTGACAATTTTCAAGAACCAACCTGAAATTTAGTGACATACTCAAAGGGTTAATGAGATATTCACTTGATAAGTCTGAAAAAAGCATCTGTCTTTGATGTAATAGTAAAGAGGTGGCACCATCTGTTAGTTAGGTTGAAAAATGCATTGGTTGTTTTGAATTTCCTACTAAGCTACACAAGGGCTATCTGCGCTAGCCATCCCTAATTTAGTAGTAAAAGACTATTGGGAAGGTAGCTGGTCATCACCACCCACTACCAACTCTTGGGCTACTCTTTTACCAATGAATAGTGGGATTGACCATCACATTATAATGCCCTCATGAGTGAAAGGACAAGCACATTTGGTGGGACGGGGAATCGAACCTGCGACCCACAGATTGCAAGTCAAGTGCCCTAACCACCTAGCCATGCCGAGCCAAAATAGATTGAACTTCCATGTATAATAAAATCTTGTGTAAAAATTAAAAGCTATCCTACATTTAAGTTATGTGTGGGTAATGATATTCATCTATTTCAAGGATGGATAAATACACAATACAAATAGTAATTGGTTAATCAAAGAAATGTCATAACTTTCATACATATTCCTTCTGAATACTTGTATATTTTCAATCTGCATGTGTTATAAAAACTTCTTAGATATATACAAATTCGTAATTTTATTCAGATGAGCCAGTTGATGGAACCTGGTTCTTTCACTTACAATCCAGGGCATAAAAATTATCCATATAAACTTAGACATAATATAATTTAAACTGACTGTAATAGTTCAGATGTCTAATTACTTCACACTTATCTGGAAGTTACAATCTACTTCACACAAACTGTCTGTCTGGTTGAGCTCAGACGTACTAATTGTATCTCAATTTAAAGTTTTAGAGTAATTTTAACTTTTCATATCTAACACACCAATTATATCCAAACTCAGATCTTATAATGATTGTTCATTTCAGGTTAATTTTACCTTTTCTTACTTATTGTTATTTGAAAAATCAAGTATGTCTTTCAAATTTATAATGACATTTCTTTTCAGATTTTTTAAATATTTATGTATATATACAGGGTGGCCCAGAAAAATGTACACACATTTCAAATTCTCATATGACTATAGTAAATGAACCTACAAGCCAACAAATATCTTTATTAATATTTCATACAACAAATTAACTGTACATACACTGCTGTATCATTTTGGATGCTCAAATTGGGCTCCACCAACATTCAAACAATCATGACGTCTATAACAAAGTACCTGACATGCTGTTACACAATTTTCACCTCTGATACAATGGAAATCATTTGTGATCTGTTGGTTTAATTCATCAGAGGTTTTGGGTTTATTTTTAGACATCCTCCAATATTATCTGAAAGACAAATAAAACTTTTAGAAATGATATAAAGAAGTTACACAACTAAAAAGATAGGTGAATTTTTGGGGCCACCCTGTTATTAACAATTTACACTCAGACTGATTTTAGTTGTATGTAATGGAAGTTTCATTTTATTCAAGCAAGTTTATCCTAGTTCAGGTTGGTTAACAATTCCTTTTATTTCTTTATCTGTAGAGGTGTTATACAAAGACAAGAAGTCAAAGCTTCTCAAGGAAATATTAAAGAAGGAGAAAATCGAGACTGTCTTATCTGGAGCTTGGGTTTGTTACACTGAATACTCGAATAAGTTTTTTAAGACAGATCTGACCTAATATTACAAATTTCATCCATTAAAAATTTTCTCAGCTCATTTTTCACTAACATAATATATATATATATATATATATATCTTTTTTCTTGTATTATTTT